TATATATATATATATATATATATATATATAACATTCCCACCAAGATTGTTGCTTGCTTTTTTAAGAATTAGTGCTTGTTATATTTTTTAAAATGTTTATACTGTTGTTATGTTTCTAGCCACCTTGCTCTTATAGGAATCGTTCACCCAAAAATGAAAGTTTGCTGAACATTTACCCACTCATTTACTCAATCCAGGATGTAGATGAGTTTGTTTCTTCATCAGATTTGGAGAAATGTAGCATTGCATCACTTGCTCCTCTGCAGTGAATGGGTGCCGTCAGAATGAGAGTCCAAACAGCTGATAAAAACATCACAATAATCCACAAGTACTCCACACCACTCCAGTCCATCAATTAATGTCTCAAAAAGCTAAAAGCTGTGTGTTTGAAAGAAATCCATCATTAAGACTTATTTACCTTCAAACAGTTGTTTCTGGCCAAAATCCATAATAACGCTTCCTCCAGTGAAAAAGTCCATCCCCTGTTGTCACATCAAAATCCACCCACATATTTCTTTAAAGCTGTTTTGGCTTGTAAATGGTGCAGATTTCTCTCCCGATTCAGACCATAATGCTTTTTCACTCTTGGTGTACTTCTATCAAATAATGAATCAACCGATAGATCTTGGGATAGTCTTGGGAATCCCTAACCATAAGTGTGAGCAGTAGTAAGAGTGATGCTTGTTTTATCGACTATAGCACTAACAACATCTTAACAGTGACTGCAAAACTAGCTTGGCAGTGTGATGAAAACCTTCCTCGGAACAGAAGACAGTCCTCGTGTGTTAAAATGTGAGTAGCTTATTTATAGTGAGTGTTGTATATAAGAGTTTGTGTGGTCGTGTGACACTGAGCTGCTCGTTCTGGTTTATTAGCAGATGAGATGCAGCCGGTTACCAAGGATACAGCATCTCCTCCTCTTCACACGTCTCTGCTGCTCACTTAAAGAAAGCGCACATCCACTGTTCTGTCATTGTTTGCTCACTCGTGAGACGTTTCAAACACAAAAGATTTTTCATGCACACTGTAAAAAAATGACCGTGAATTTAACGGTAAAAGACTGTAAAAATGCTACAGTAAAAACCTGTTAAATGGTTAACGGTAAATTCCCCTACTATATACGGTGAAAAACTGTATTGGACATTACATGTATTGGACATTAATTTTACGGTAGTATACAGTTTTTGGAAGTGAAAAAGACGGTATAATTTACAGTGAATAACCGTAAATTGACATTCCCAGAATTCCCTGCATTACATTTCAAATTTGATGTTTTTTTGTTGAAATAACTATGTTTATTCTTATTTTTTTCTTATCAGTTTTGCATATTAGGGTTGTGTGTTACACCTAATGTTGTTAAATGAATGTTTATTGCATTATTTCAGTTTCATGTGTGTTACCGTGATGGTGTTTAGTGTTTGTGTGAATGACACTGTGCACCTTCTATATATGTTATTATTTAAAAGCTGCTTGTGACGGGCTTTGGTTCATCATGTGACTTTCTCATCACCGCCTGCATTTGGTGGTTATCAGCGTATTACAAAGGTACAAAACAGATTTCAGTACTTCAATAGGTTGGTATATTAACATTATATCAGTTAATGAAATTACGGTATTTAACTGTAAATTTAAGTTAAAACCGTAAAACCTAAAACGTTGCTACTGTATTTTTTATGGTACAATTCCGGCAACCACAGCTAAACATTTTTTTACAGTGCAGCTTTTTCCATATTACTGGTTCATATAGTGACCGTGACTGTCAAGCTTCAGAAAGGACCAAAAACACTATGAAAGCACCAGAGTTATACAGTGGCTTTGTGTGAGGAACAGCCTGAAAATGAACTGAAGTCAATATTCATTAAAAATCATTTGAGAGGGAGATTATTAGTGAAAAACATCTTCAGGGATGAGTTTTTTCCATGTTACAGATTTCCATGTTTTCTTTTATTATTATTACTTTTTTATTTTACAGCACAATAGTAATATATTCCTTTGTTGGTTTCATTAATTATTATCATTTAAATGATAAATAAATAAATATTATTATTATTATGGTTGTTATTTATTTCTCAGAGAAAGTAATACATTTTATCGATTTGTTTAATTATTATAATGTAAATTATATTTTAATAATGATAATAATATTATTGTTTTATTTTAAAGTACAATACTAATATATTATTTTGTTGATTTCTTTAATTATTATTATTTATTTTAATGATTATTTCTAATTCAAATTATAATGAAAAATAATACATTTAATATAATTATGAAAATAATATTAATAATTATTTCTTGTTTATTATCATTATTATTCAATTTTATTATTATTGTTATATAGTCATGCTGAATGGGAAAAACAAAGTTTTTTCCTCTTTTTGGTCTTTAGCTGATCACATGCCTGCAACATTTCAGTTGATTTCTCACACAGAGCTTTTATGTGACTTCAGAAGACTTGGAATATAGTGCACACGTTGTATGCTTTTTTTTTTTTAATGAACTATACATTTAATCTTTCTTTAATCTGTGTATTTATTTCTGATTTGCTGTTTTTCCTCTCTCCCTTAGCATAAACAGATGCTCAGTAAAGGAGAAAGAGAGAGAGAGAGAGAGAGAGAGAGAGAAAGAAAAAGCCAGATAGAGATGTTATTATATCTGTGTGATCATCTGTGCTGATGAGGGCACAACGACACGACTCCACATTAGTCTGAAATATAGACGATGCTTTCAGAGAGTTCATGCTCTCCATTTGAATTCTCCATTAAACACTACAGTCTTTATGATGACTGCATGCGTTTCATTAGTCACATCTGAGTGCACATCTCTCTGAGCTGTAGTATGTCACATATGTTGTAACTCTCCCCGGTTTAGAGGCTGTAATCCACGCTGGAACAGGGAAGTTCATCATAACTTGGCAGAAAGTTGAAAAACCTTTTAGGTTATTTAGGCCTTATGAACTGTGAACACTGGGACCATTTGAAGAGAGAGTAGTGGTTTGCTTGACTGATGCTAAGCAGTTACTAAGGTGTTCTAAGTGGTTGCTAAAGGGTCGTGGGTGGTTGTTAGGGTGTTGCTAGGTGGTTAAGATTTTCTGAGTGGTTGCTAGGAAATTATTATATTCAGTGGCTTCTCCTACTTTTCTCAGTGATACTGTATTTAGTTCCAGTTTATCAGGAAGTGACAGTTTTGTTTTTGGACGGAAACGGTGCTTTATTCGCAAATGTTTTATGTGATATTCCAAGTTAAATTTGCAGCTTTGGATGAAAACATAGCTATTGATTATTGAGAAATGAGGATTTGATCATGCACTTAGTTTGATCAAGATGTATGTATTTGAATTGCATATAAGATGTGCATCCATTTGGATCACAGTTTTAACATAAACAGTCAGCCATACATAAGAAACAGAGAATAAGAATAGTTAATGTATGTATGACTGACACATAAGCATCACATTAAAGGAAAAGTTCAACCAAATATGAACATTTGCTGAATATTTATACTCACCCTCAGGCCACACAACAGGTAGATGAGTTGTTTCTTCATCAGATGTGGAGAAATGTAGCATTGCATCACTTGCTTACTTTGCAGTGAATGGGTGCCGTCAGAATGAGAGTCCAAACAGCTGATAAAAACATCACAATAATCCACAAGTAATCCACACCACTCCAGTCCATCAGTTAACATCTGGAGAAGACAAAAGCTGCACGTTTGTAAGAAACAAATCCATCGTGAAGACGTTTATAACTTAAAATCATTGCTTATACATCCATAATAACGCTTCCTCGAATCAGGATGACCTGAGAGTGAGTAAAGCACATTTTTAGCAAGTTTTCATTTTGGGTGAACTATTCCTATAAACTGGATTCACATTGTCGGTTGTGGCAGATTAGTAAAGAAGACCCTTGGGGTTTGACGTTACTAACAGCTCGATGTTGTTTGTTTTGCAGGTGTTGAACCCGATGGGCTGGGATGCGTTTGGTCTGCCGGCTGAGAACGCCGCCATCGAACGAGGCCTGGACCCAGAGGACTGGACCAAAAGGTGCGGAGCCGAGGGATGCTCGATGCTTATCCAAACACTCACAACTACACACACATAACGATCCAATCTAATTAACCCGCACGCCTCTCTCTGTGTCTTACAGTAATATTGAGTCCATGCGGAAGCAGCTGGACAGTCTGGGGCTCTGCTTTAATTGGGATCGGGTGAGTGAGAGCCTGCATTCAACAGATGGGGGACTTGATCTTAACTTCGGTGTCTTGCATCATTGCATCAGTATACTTTCTTATCTCAGACTTGGTGCCAGAGGTTTTTCCTCAGAGACACACTGTTTGAGTTAAAGAGTTTCTGCATCAAAGGGCATTGCAGCAGACGGTACAGCACAGCTGTGATTATTGCTTTCTTAAAATAGTTACAACAGAATAAAGATAATAAGGTCACACATTTATTTAAACCATTGTTTTAAATCAGTCTCCTAAAGTAATGGAAAATATGAAAAAGTCATGGAAATTTTGGAAATTTCCACTCCTTTATGCCAATAGTGCACTCTGATTTACAACCCATGTACACTCACTGACACTATATTGACCATAATGCAATGTGGAGAGGATTGCTGAACTAAAAAATTCATACTGGAAATATAAACTACTGTTCAAAAGTAAAAAAAATAAAAAATAAAAATTTGGGGTTGGTAAGGTTTTTTTTTTTTTTTTTTTTTTGAAAGAAGCCTTTCTGCTCACTAAGGCTGCATTTGTTTGATCAAAGATACAGTAAAACATAAATATTGTGAAATATTATTGCAATTTAAAATAGCTGTTTTCTTTGTGAATGTATAGTAAAATGTAATTTATTGATCAAAGCTGAATTTTCAGAATCATTACTCCAGTCTTCAGTGTCACATGATCCTTCAGAAATCATTCTGAATTTGCTGCTTCTTATTTTTGTGGAAACCATTATGTAATTTTTTAGGATTATTGGTGACTAGAAACAGCATTTATTTGAAATAGAAATTTGGTAAAATTTTGTAACATTATAAATGTCTTTACTGACACTTTATATCAATTGAATGCATCGTTGCTGAATGAAAGTAGGGATGCACGATATTATCGGACCAATATCGGAATCGTCCGATAATGGCTTTAAATGTAAATATCGGCATCGGCCCGATATGAAAAATGATGCCGATATGTCTCGCCGATAAGAGGAATACATTAACTCACATGTGCTCAGATTAGATCACGTCAACAGTGTTATTAGATCATGTCAGCATTGTGGCTCATTCTTGAAAAAAAAGTTTTGCATGAATGGTTATTGGATTCACTGTTTTGGATCTCTGCATTTAAACAGAGAATGCACGTACAGATTGACGCATTCGGTGTATGATAGAGTAAACGGTAATAGCACGTGCAGCGGCAGCCTCCCCCGGGTCCTAAAGCCTGCTCAGTAAGGAGTTTTAATTCCGTAGGGGGCGCTGTTGGCCTACTTTTAATAAAATTAAAGCAAAATACACAAATAATATTTAGACTGTGTTTCTGATTAAATAAAGCAGTAATCGATGCAACTCTTTTGCTTTAGACCATTTACAAATGTTAAAACATAAAATAAAATGTTAAGGTTACCACGACATCTTTTCTGAAAAAAAAAATGCAGTGATTAATATATAGTTTATTTATAGTTATTTTCAAATCTTCAATGTACTGTCATTATAAAAGAACTTCATTATTGTTTATTTGATTCTAACAAATAAGTTCTTGTTAAAAACGAACCAAAATTAAAAATAATTATATATCGGTATCGGCTATCGGCCAAAATGTGTTGAAAATTATCGGCATATTGGATATCGGCAAAAATCCAATATCGTGCATCCCTAAAATATTATTTTTTTTCTTCTCATAAAATTTTTTAAAATAAATAAAAATCATACAAACCCAAAGTTTTGAAAAGCAATGCATAAAAGCAAAATTTTAAAAATAGCTAATGAGTGATTAAAATTTCAGTTAGTTTAATCATGTCAATCATTTTATTTCTCTAGACTGATTTACTGAGGTAACAGAGAGAATTATTAGTTTGATTGATTGAAGAGCCTTTAAAAGTTACTGGGGACCTTTTTATTATAGACTTATTTCAAAATTGATTGAATACATTTTTTCATAAATTGACACAAAGCACTCTTTAATGACAAAATAAATAAAAAAATAGTTTACTAGAACTTAAAAAAAAAATGCAATTGCTATTTTAACCCAGAGTGATTTTAAGGAGGCTTTTAGTCGGTGCTGTGCGTGTCCTGGCCATGTTTCTGTCATCTCTGGCAGCAGGATGGTGTTGGACTGTAACTGTGGTGATATCCAGCTGATGAGCAGCTCTGGGCTTGTGCCAGACGTGCCACTTGGAGTTCAGTTTTGCCTAATTGGATCAGAGAATATCTTCTTCATGCTCTCAGAGTTCGTTAAGTGCTACAAACTCAGGGTCTGGCTGTCTGAGGCCTTTTACTCAAGACTGCCTTCAGTTTAGTCACATTACCATAGAGCCCAGACTGATGGAGAGCTGACGGTCAGAGTGGATATTTCACACTTCTGGCCCAAATGCTGGGCTGTTCGGACAGCTTTAGGAGTGCTGAGTCTTTCATGCAGGCTGCGGTACTCAGCGTACCTCCTTTTAATTGCCAGTTTTTGTAATGTTTTGTGACACTACCAGCCAAAGTTTTGTACATACATAATTATTTTTACTATTTTCCAAATTTGACAATAATTGGAAAGCCATTGAGACTAACAAAAATGGAAATATGGAAATTAAACCTGTAAAGCCTGACATATCAAAACAGTTGAAGCTGAAATTGATTGATTGATCTATATTGAAATATTTCTAGATGAAACGTAAAACAAAAAATAGCATGTTTTTGTCGAGTATCACATTAGATACATTGAGCTTTTATGGCTCATGCAGTATGATTTAGTGAGAAATTAAGGTCAAACTCGAGGAGGGAAAACAGCTCCGCTTTATTCAGAGGCCCAAACTGAGCAAAAATATGCAATTTGGTGCAGATGCTGATAATCATTTGACCAGAAAGTAAGATGAATTTCTGATGCTTGTAATGTAAATCAGTGAGATCTTTACAACAACAATACAGCAGATAGTTACATAAAATATTATATATAAATATGTCATCACTCGATATCTGCCAATAATGCGTCTTAGTAAGATGAGATTTAAATGATCAAAACATATAATGCAATGCAATGCAATGGTGATTGAGAGATGAACACACAAACGTTCATCATATCATATTTGAGACTCACATTTGAACATGATTTTTCTATAAAATGATGCCGAGCTGCTTCGGTCCAGTAAGTGTTCATCTTGAAATATTACTAACAATATCAAAGCTATTACGTTTACTTTAAATCACAAACAAGTAAAGATTTCACCTCAGAAAGACATGTGAAGCTCGAGCTGAAGGTTGATGTTTGTACAATTATACTAAAAGGCCTTTTACTTGCTAAAACGTATAAACACAGAAGGCATGTACTGTAGTAGATTTTTCAGCAAAGTTTTGATCATGTCCATAATTTACAGGCCTTAGAAATTGTGTATCAAATATGGCACAGTAGGCTTTATAGGGTTAAAGTTTTTAACGATCCAAAACTCTGGATATTCTAAGTAAATAAATACGTTTTGTAAATACATTCTTATAAAACGGATAGTTCCGGTCCTTGATTCTGATTGGCTGAGCCGCGTTCGACGCTGTTGTAAATTACTCTACAAACATACACCTTTGTTTACG